ACCAAATTGATACTCAGAAGGGCTTTTTTTTTGAGGATTAACTCAGTTAATATGTAGAAATCCCATGGGAAAATCTTCATAGTATTGCTTTTATAATAATAATAATCACAACAACAGATATTATTTTTAACTTCAGCAACCACCCTTGAGATGCATGTACAGAATTTACCCAGATCCTGGATAAAGACACTGCAGGAGAGTTTAGTTACTTCTCAGCTTACATGGGGACCAAGAGCCCAACTCCACCTTTGTCAACATCAAAATCCAGCAGTCCTAAAACCATCATACAACAGGAAATACCTTCATCAGTATTTACAATCTACTGTTTGCAAGACCAGACACTGAATAATGTTGGAGGACACTCAGCTCTGCCCTCAGGCTGGGGAAGAGGGCAGGCTGTCTTCAGAAGGTAAATGTGATATAGCAAGGTTGAAATACAGGTCACAACAGCAGAGAGGAAGGTGCTAAGTGCATCCTAGGGAGCATCAAGCTACCTGGAGGAAGCAACACTTCAGCAGAGATGCAAAGAATGAGCAAGACTCAGCCAGCAAGCTGGGGACAACAACAATCAGCTGGCATTTGCTCCCTGGTGTTCAGTGCTGGATCTCTGGAGCTGCCAACACTAACTTCATGCCAGGTGACAAATGATCTGAGTGCCCACAGCTGCAGCTGCCGCTTTATAGGCTCTCCCTCCTACTTCCCTCGTTAATGAGCCTGAGACCAGGAAAGAATACATCTTAGTAACCAAAAGCTCTTCTGTTAGCCTTTCTGTCCAGAGATACAAGAGAAGCTTCTTCACTCCTGTAGACAATACAGCCACAGATCCTTTGTTATTTTCCTTTAGCACTTGCAAAAATAGCAATTTACTGCTACTAACTCAATTTTATGCATCTTGGCGGCAGACTGTGGTATGTTCATAAATATGTTCATTACAAAAATACACATTTTTTCAAGAATAGCTCCAAAGCATGTCAATGCTTCTAGTCTTCCTTCAATTTTTACTCCTAGGAAATATTCTCATTGTCCCTAGCTTTTAGCAATTCTGATGTTGCAATGTTCTACCTATAGTTACACAATGCCCCAGAGACGCAGATATGCTAGAAGACAGTTATTCTACAGGTAAATAGCTTTATACAGTAAAGGCAAGTTTTGTGACTTTATGGATAGCTCCAGTTTTCAGACATTTTAAAAAGATGTTTCATTGTAAATAGCAAAGATGAAGGAACTTTTTTTCCTTCCAAAACGTGGCAGGTGTAATGTTCCCGGTATACGGAACTACCCTTCAGAAGTCGGTACTGTACGGCAATATATACCTGCTTCAATCTACATGAAAAAATAATTTAATCTTTATTCAATTTTCCAAAAAAAAAATGAACAAATGCAAGGGATATTTGGGCTTGGCAGTGTGTTTAGTATAACTGGGAATTTCAAAAGAGGTATGAAATCTGTTCCCTGCGTTTAAGAAGTTTGCATTATGGTTGGAGAGGCTAAAGAGAAACCATGTGACACTGATTCATTGACACTGACTATAGAAAAGAGTGGCATTGGATACACAGAGAGAAGGAAACTTTCCTCTACACATCAAAATATAGAGTACAATATGGGATCGAGTTGTAGGGAATCATCTATTATTATTTTATATTAGTTTGTATTTGTGTATTTTTCTAATATCCAGCCTTCCAAAAAATAAAGAAAAACCCTCGGTATGTGTTATAGGACATTGCCTTTGTACCTTTCAAACTCATCATTTAAAGAAAACCATATGCTCTTGTGAAATAAGTTTTTACAAATTGAGAAAATCTTGACCAAATTAGCTGCATTGTATGAAGAAAAGATTACTTCTGATGTTTTAAGAAACACAACAGCTTTAAGTCAACCACTAGGGGAAAAAATCTGCAGTATACACTGCAGTATATTTCCCCAAAACTGAACATCCAGCATCTTAGGAACAATGTGTGCTTCCCCAATCCATTAGTCTCTTGCCAACCCGTGCCCCAGGGCTTAGAATAAGGTGAAAGTTTTGGGTCAGCCACTATGTCTTAGCACCTCCTCTCAAAGAGCTAAAAATAAAGCATTAACAGCAGGTCCAGCAGGATGGAGAATGGGGCTGGTGTGGAAATTTGTCATATTGACACTGATGAAAGAAAAAGCCTGACTCTGCGCAGATTAGCTCAAAGTGAAACTGAAATTCTGCACTCTCGATTTAACTGACATATATAAACGCTAACATCATATATTGTTAAACTGAGAAATTCCACCCTTATATATATTTTAGGTGAGTCAGATAAAAGTAAATTGGGATATAAAAATCATCATCACAGATGATGTCCCTCTTGGGGGACTAAATTCCAGGTGAATTTTTTTTAACTTGTTGGTTAAATGGCATTGTTTGTTTGACTTTTCTGTTTGTAAGATCTGCATTCATTCATAATTTAGTTGAACAAATCACATTTATAAATTCCTTTAAAATTTGTTTTATTTTTTCATTTAGTTGCATCGTTTTCTTTACTAGTTTCTTCGCGTATGTCTGTCATTTTCCATAAAAGGTAAGGACATCAGTACACAGGGAGAGAGAAAAGGAACCTCCATGGTCAAACTGTGTCAGTCTTCCACGTGCTACGGGAGCTAAGATTCTCTTAAATGATCCATTTGAAATCTAGACTTATTGACTCTAGTGAGTTTCATCTGAACTGAGTGCAGACAATCAAGTACTTGAAGTGTATTTGTAAGAAAGTAAACATGTCACAGAGTGCAAAAACTTCCACAAATTCTTCAACTGTTTCCTGAATTTATTTGTCTGATGTGTGTTCTTATCTACAATGTTTACAGTGGGATATGCAGATGAACTAATGAATTATGTCTGAATAATCACAGTCTATAATTATCTTAATAAGCATTTTTTAAAATGTGAAGGAAAGACTATGTAAGAGTTTGAAAATAGGATATTAGAGTGTGATTATTTATCAGTAGCAGGGATTCCAGGGAGCTTGCTTGATGTATCTGAAATGGATTTAGCTGGAGCAATAGCACCAAAGACTTGGTAAAGTTTGAGGCTGTTAATCTTTTATGACTCTCACAGAAACTAAAAGTGAAAGATATATAATCCTGGTTTATCTCCATTTTACCATTCATTCATTCATTCATTCAGTTTGGTAAATGTTTTCAAACATTAACGTAGGATCTGAGGAGATAATTTTGAAAAAGAGATCCATATCTTGGAACTTATGTTCTATTATGGTAGACAGTAAATAAATTTAAAAAATTATTCTAAAACTTTGCACTGGATCTCACTGTTATACACAGTGTTCCTATGAGTGCTGAATGTACCTTGTTAGTGGTGCTGACAGTGAGCTAATGATGAAACCCCAAATTTCGAGTCTGCTGTTCAACCTCATGTCCAATGTTACCCAATCTATTGGCATAAAATCTCTTACTGGTCATGTCTACAATCAATGAAGAAGGTAGTTATAACACCAACTAACTGGAATAATTCTCTACCTAATCACATCTGCCAAAATGGTGATTTCAACTCATCCATTGAGAGAAGGGACTTTCCAACATGAAGTCCTTATTAATACCTTTAAGTCGGAGCTCTTTCTCTATTTAAGTGGCTCACATGCTGTGCATCTTCTCCCTAGTGGTATTTATTTCATTTGTACTTTACTGTTAGCCTGTGTTCATGAGTAAGCCCCACCAAGCCATTCAACTGGCAACTCCTGGAGGGCAGAAGTTCAACAGTTTCAAATTCAAACTTTTTTTTTGGTATCTTAGATGTTATTTAGCATATTTTATTATATATTTAGCCCTAAATTTTTATTTCTGATGTTTAATTGTGTTATATTTGTTTGTGTGCAATGGACGGACATAATATTTAGCTGCTGCTTTGTGTGCAATAGCTGTTCCAAGGGAGTCCATCAATTTTTTAAGTAGTTTAACACTAGACTTAGAACAATATTATTGAGTAAGATTCAGCCTCAGGTATTTCCAGTTTAGTTCTGAATCTTTGAATTTTCAATTTTCTGATTTATTTACAATAAAAACTCTCAGTCATAACACTTAAGATTTCAAAATTCTTGTGAACTCCATGTGCATTCTCATGTCCAGGGAACTTATATTTATATGTGTTTGCACCTTATTCCCAAATTATCACCTAAATCAATATTTCTTAAAACCAACACTTTCCTCAGAATTTAAAAGCACTGCAACCAAACTGCACAACTGAGTGAAACTTGACAAATTTAAACTATAACAGGTAAAAAAGTACATTTTTTAAAATTCAAATTTAATGTTTGGTAATAGATATTCTATATTCTAAATTATTTAGATAAAAATAACACATGTGAAGGCACTAAAATCCATCCATGTTTATCAATGTACATTATAAACTATGCAATAATAATTCTACATCTAGGTCACATATACATACTACTGAATACACACATACATGACACATCCAGATGGCACGTTAGACCATAAAAAGCACATACACATGACACGTTTTTCATAGCTAGTACTTTCAGAGCTACACACTGTTCTCTCTGACACAGACATGAAAATATTGAGATTTTACAGGTGTGTTCAAGTCCACATTTACAGTTAAAAGTGTTTTAATATCTAGTTCACGGTAATTAAACATATTTGTTTGCCATTGTCTTTCAACACTCATATCAGGTAAAACTATGAAGTAACCTGATTGAAGTTTCTTACTTCTTGTCCTCTAACAAAGAAATATAAAAGTATTTGGTGCCATTATCATGTGTTCCTGCAGACCAGGACTCGGGTCACATTTCTATCCATAAACAACGTTCTGTAAAGCTTTTATTATATCGTATTGGAAAGAATGAAAGACCTCGACCTCTCAGCCCCCAGCTTCCTGATGAAAATGAAATGGGCGTATACACATAGGCACAATCCCGGACACAGAACATTTGGTACACAAAGGATGATCACACGGGTTCCTACCCAGCACAGTTCCATTGAGTAGTTTCTACCGCACGTACCAGCTCGGTTGCCCACGATCCATGCTGCTTTTAAATACTACAAAGCAATTTACGCTCCAAGTACCACCCGCTTAAGTTCTTGCTTTCGCTCTCAGAAATGGATACACTTGTGCAGTAAGTGATGCCTTGTTGCAGCTGCCTCTTCGAGTCCTTCAGAAACCACCTCTGAGCCGCACCGGGTTAAGCCCTGCCGCTCCAAGCTCATTCTCCCCGGCAGCTGGCAACCGGCCGATCACGGGAGGAGAGAACACGCGCTGGGGCGCCATCTGGAGGTGCCTCGAGGCAGCTGCAGCAAATTTAGAACAACTGTGGGCGGAACAAGAATGTCAGCAGATTCTTTGTTAAATAAGCATACTGGGTTTATTTACCCATCCCAGGGAACGTAAAAAATAAAAGCCAAGAAAAAAAAAACGCAGGAAAAGCACATTCTATTGCCTATGAAATTTGTATTTCTTTCATACTTCACAATAAAGTAAAAGTGTGATCTCATGTATGTACAAACAGGAGACGCAAATTCATTTTTTGCTTCTTGGTGACTCATCCGACAAGAAAATAATTAACACCGACTTCTATTAGAAGTTTCCAAGATTTTGGTATTTAACTCAAAGAAAGCTTTCCAAAAGAGAAATTATGTGCATCCCAACCAACACAATGCAAGCATGTTAAACAAGCTCTGTGACTTTTAAAAATTACAAATCTTATGCCTGAAGATGATTAACAGGTTCCATATCTATGCATTATACTAACTGAGTATGACAACAAGTAAAAGCAGTTCCTGTGACAGGTGTCCATATAACTTGAAAATTTTAGCAGAACTCAGAGTTAATTCCTTTCATCTCCCTAAGCCTCTTTCCCTTAGAGGATAACTGGTATAACTGAATGAGATATAAGCTTAATTAATTGCACAGGACATTTTTAAGGCTTATGTACCGTGATATGCATTCAGCAAGATGACGAATGCATGTTTCTCTATTCCCAAGAAAGCAAACATGCATTGCTACCCCCTCTCTCAACCCATTCCATTCTATTTCCACCATGCCTCAAAATTTGGAATTCCCTGTTCCTTCAAAATCAAAACTCCACTTTGAAACTACGTAATCAGAGACTCATTTACAGTGATTGTGTGATTTTTTTCCGGCAAAGTGTGAACCAAAGTTTGATTATATACTCTTCGGGGCCCCTTTGGGAAATAGAAAGTCATAATCACTTCAATTTCAAACCAGTATTTGACAATTTCTGGTGGGATAAACATAGAAGAAATTTGTTTCATCATATTTCATATTAAATATTTATTTCCATGTATGAAAGTGAATATATTTGCTTTTCAAACACATGCCATTAAACATCTGCTAAAGAAATGTAAGTTTTCTATTAAAAAGAGCAGGTGCCAAATATTTAAACTACACTTTTTTGTGAGTTTGTAATGGTTCTCTAAATATATGTTTTGATATGATTGAAATGAAGATTAACTATTCATACCCTATTCATGCCACCTTGTACTTTGAAAAATAAAAATATATTTTATAACTAAATGAATCCTAAATTACATGCCTTTATAAACTATACTGTGGTGAATGACATATAGAAATTCTTCAGAAGTAAAGACACTCAAATATATAAAGACCGTAAACAGAATAAATAACATTTGGAACCATATGAAAAAAAAAAAAAAAGAAATGCATATCTGTGATCAAACATAGAAATACCAGCATTTGCCAAAAAGTTTATATGAACATTTATATGTAATACTCAGATTAATTTGGGGATCATTTTACCCATAAATATTTAAATAAATACTCCCCAGCATTTAAAGGAAATATTTTAGTGAAAAATAAAATTAAACACATAAAAATTATATTAAAAGGAACCAGGATAAAGATCTATGTTAGATTTTTATTGCTAGCCTTAATAAAATAGAGCAGGGGATTAAAACAAAGATCATTTATTATCTCATAGTTTCTTACAATAGTACAGACAATGCTTAAATGAATTCTTAGCTCAGGGTCTCCCATGACTGAAATCTAGGTGTCAGTTGAACTGTATTCTAATCTAGAGGCCTGGCTAAGGAAGAACCAGTCTCGAAGTTCAATTAAGTTGTTAGGAACTTCATTTCTTTGGGGCTATAGTACTCATGGTGGCTCTCTTCTTCAAGGCTAGTAGGAAAATGTATATTCGTATCAGGAAGGGGACCAAATGATTCTTTTAGGGACTTTCAGTTGATTAAGCCAGGCCCAGCCAGAATAATGTCCCTGTTCGTTGGGACTTTGTTAATGACTACACAGTCCCTTCACCTTTGCCATATTCTACTGAGGAGATGCAAGTGGCAGGTTCTGCTCACAGAATGGAGAGGATTTTAAGTAGGAACATGAATTCACTGGAGGTCATCACAGAGTATGTCTGCAACAGGATCTATGTGACCAATATGGAATTTCTTGCTTACTAATTAAAAGCTAGGTAAAACAGAATTGAGGACAGAAGGAGTACAGGGACATTTTTTAGCCTGTAGGATCAAGACAGGGACATGAGTCTACTTATCACAGAATTGTTATAGATGCATAGCTGTATCTGTCATGAACAAAAAATATTGGAGAAGCCATTTAATCAGGAAGGTCATGGAAGAAGTAGGTAGATGCAGAGTTGAAAGTGATGTCAGACTCATGGGCAAGACATGGGACAATGAAGAGCTGTGGTGCACATGCAGCTGAAATGGCTATTTGTACTAGACATGTTTATGTTGCCTGGCTGCCCGCCCAAAACCCCTTACAATTAATTAGCAAAACTCTCAGGTTGCTCAAAATTATTAGACCAGGAGTATATACATCTGACCAAAACGAATACATCCATAGATTAGCCAGAACTCTGTGGTTTGTTTGGCCTTACTGGAAAAAATAAGTCTGTCTAATTAGATTTTCATGAAATTGTACTAAAGTAAAAGAATTTCCATTGGGTAGAGCATACTATAACTGACAGGTCATGTAGCAATTATGAGCTATGTGCTGGCTGATGGAAAGAAAGTCACCCAGCAGATTCAAAAGAAAGTAGAAATTAAAGATAACCTTATTGAGAGAGGCAGGGTGGAAGGGAGGAAGGGAGTTTGGTTGGAGGGAAGGAAGAAAAGAATGTTATATTATAATTGCACCTGTGATCTATACTGAATCTGTTCTCTTTGTATTAATATCACAATAATATGAAAAAGTATCAGATGGTAAAAATAAATAAATAAAATGAAATAAAAATGAAGATAACATTCATTCATTTGATTCTTTCTATACATTCATGTTAATTTATTGTTATACACTAGTCACTGCTCCATGTGCCAGGGATACCCAAATGGATTGAACAAGGTCTATAAACTCATGAAAATTATTTTTACAGTTAGAGAGATTAAATAAACCCAAGCAAGCAAATACATTATATGCTATTAAGTGAAAAGCTGTAGGAATAGAAAGAAAGAAAATTATGAACTTGAAAAGCAATGCAAGAAATGTTACTTGGGTAGGATGATCAGGGATGTCTATTTCTTCTTGTGTTAGTTGCACAGAAACTTAAATGCAGTGAAGATGAAAGACATGCTTATGTTTGTGGAAAGGGTTTTATGAGAAGAGTGCATGGTACAAAGACTGAAATATATGTGTTCTTCATGAGTCAAAGGAAAAGCAGGATGGAAAATCTGACTTATTGTGGGAGAAAGAGGTCATATAATAGATTATAAGGTCAGACATGGAGTGAGCAACAAGATCACGTAGCACTTGTCTAAGGGCACTCACTGGCTTTGATGTAGAGAGACAGGAAGCCAATCAAGGGTTACTAGAAGATTTACATCAGATCTATATTTTTAAGAGTCACCCTTGCTGCTATAAAGAACAGATGGGAAGTGAGGGAGGTGACAGGGAGGCCATGTGGACCCTGAGGGGGACAAAGTATGTCCTAATTTCCTATTATGTTTCTCATGAGGTCTGGCTATACTTCTTTCAGTCCTTGATTTCCATGAAATGGAGCTGTAAATTTTTCCTTTAAAGAGAGAGGGGATGGGGAGAGGGAGACAGACAAAGAGAGAGAGAGAGAGAGAGTCTTCCATCTGCTGGTTCACTCACCAAATAGAGACAACAGCTGAGATGATCTGAAGGGAGGAGCCAGGAACTTCTTCCAGGTCTCCCATGTGGGTGCAGGCACTCAAGCACTTGGGCCATCCTTTGCTGCTTTCCCAGGCACATTAGCAGGGAACAGGATGGAAAGTGGAACAGCCAGAACTCAAAATGGTGCCCTTATGGCATGCCAGTGTTGCAGGCCAGGGCTTTAACCCACTGCACCACACCACCGACCTCAAAAATTTTTAAAACTTTATCTTTTTTAAATGATAGAAAATGCAGAAAAATCTTACATATGTGGAGTTTATGTCGTCTATTACTTTGTTGAGAAAGTTATTTTTCCAGGGTTTGGTTTAAGTGCAAAAGAAAGGTCAACTTCTAAAATAAAGATTTGTCAGGTCCTCTATGACATGAGAGTTGTCCAAGATGCTAACTGGATGAATATTTTCATTCACTATCAATGAAAATGTATTGAGGATATGTGACTCAAATTTAATATTTTGTACAAAGCTATTTTGTTTTTTATATTTTGTTTTTTTCTTTGAAAAGAAGGATACTTTCCCATTTTAGAGATAAAACATTCAAACAAATTTTTTTTTTTTTTTTTTTTTTTTTTTTTTTTTGACAGGCAGAGTGGGCAGTGAGAGAGAGAGACAGAGAGAGAAAGGTCTTCCTTTTGCCGCTGGTTCACCCTCCAATGGCCGCCGCTGCAGCCGGCGCACCGCGCTGATCCTGGCAGGAGCCAGGAGCCAGGTGCTTTTCCTGGTCTCCCATGGGGTGCAGGGCCCAAGCACCTGGGCCATCCTCCACTGCACTCCCTGGCCATAGCAGAGAGCTGGCCTGGAAGAGGGGCAACCGGGACAGAATCCGGCGCCCCAACCGGGACTAGAACCCGGTGTGCCGGCGCCGCAAGGTGGAGGATTAGCCTATTGAGCCACGGCGCCGGCTCAAACAAATGTTTTATAAGGAGTCCAATACTTTATAATTTTGATTTTTTTGATACACACGCATACACACACACGTGTCATTGCATATGTGCAGGCATATTTTCAGTATTTCTCATGGTATTTCTTATGACACAATATAAAATCAACTATACAGTCCTTCAAAAT